TAACCAACAAAGACGGTTCCTAGCATTGAGGTTGGCATCATTATCCTAACTCTTGGTCTTAGGGGCTGCAGTCCATTATGCTTTCTGGCCAGTATTGGTCCTGCATGTAGTGCTCAAGGTTGTTGTTGTTGGGGTTTGAGGTATGGTCAGTGTTTGAATCCTGGGGCAGGATGATCTTTTCCCACTGGTCCTCTACCAGCTTGTACAGATCTATGGCAGCACAAGCGTCCTCTACAGAGCAGTGACCCATTCTTCCAGACTAAAAGAAATATGCAGTATGTAAACATCAAGCAGCAAGTAAAGAGAAAATACACTAAGCTCGATGTTCCAACTTTAGCTCATGAAAAAAGCTGATCTGCTACACAGTCTTACCTGTATGGTCCTATTGAGAAGTTTCCGAGACAGTTTCTTCAAAGAGACATTGCATCTAGTGGAGGTGTTATACAACCCTCTCAGCAATCTACAGGAACAGGTGTCTCTAATCATTTGTGGTGGGACGGAGATGTCAAGAACCTGGAAATCATTAAATAAGGCATGGCCCACAATAATCTTCCCTGTGAGGATGTCAACAATCTAAAAAACAAAAACAAAAAGCAGTGTTATTTCAGCAATATTCCATGAAATACAGTAGCCATTTATGAACAAAGCTCAACAATGAGTATATCAACATTTCCAAAAATTTAATTATTTAATATATGTGACCCTGGAGCACAAAACCAGTCTGAAGTCGCTGGGGTATATTTGTAGCAATAGCCAAAAACACATTGTATGGGTCAAAAGTATTGATTTTTCTTTTATGACAAAAATCATTAGGATATTAAGTAAAGATCATGTTCCATGAAAATATTTAGTAAATTTCCTACTGTAAATATATTAAAACTTAATTTTTGTTTAGTAATATGCATTGCTAAGAACTTCATTTGGACAACTTTAAAGGCGATTTTCTCAATATTTAGATTTTTTTGCACCCTCAGATTCTAGATTTTCAAATATTGTCCTATTCTAATAAACCATACATCAATGGAAAGCTTATTTATTCAGCTTTCAGATGATGTATAAATCTCAATTTCGAACTAAATTGCCCCTTATGATTGGTTTTGTGGTCCAGGGCCACACATATATACATCCACATATACACACACAAAACCTTATCATTAAAAACAATGTAACTAGTGTATTAAAAATGTTTTAAATGTTTCTCAAATAAAAAAAAAATGATACAGCTTTCATGATTTTAACAGTAATTTATGGTCTTAACTGTACACTTGTTAAAAAAAGGTAACAACATTATACATTATAAAAAAATACAAATATAACATATCTTAATCAAACATTGAGTATAATATAGATTTCAGAAAAAAAGAATAGTAGTAAGAAATAATGTAACAAATTAATTTAAATTTATTTTTAAAACAGCTATTATTTATGTTACTGTTAATTATATAAAAGTAAACAGAAATTTAAAAAAAAAAAAATTAAGAAAAATGTACCATTCTTAAAAATAATTACATTTTTTAAATCTACTATTATTTGTTAATTTAATTTATGTTACTCAATATTAATAAAAACTTCAGCTTAAATAATATTAAATAAATTATTTTTGTAAAAAAAAAAAAAAAGATAATAAAAACTAATATTTTGACTGGACAGTAAAAATATTGGCAGGGCAATTAAACAGCTGAACTACTGGCTTTTCTGTACCGGCAGGGGGAAAATTCCCTTACTGTTTAAAACTACTATACAAAATCAATTTAAGTCAGAGCATATAAACCCACTTGAACAGAAACTTGTACATATAGTGTAGTTAGGTATAAGTGCCTCCTCACCTCATTCTGAGCGTCCTCAAAAGCCACTGCCTGTTGTAAATGATGTTTCCTAATGCCACTCCATCTTGTGCGGTAGTCTGTGACTGGATTCCGAGGTAAAATATATTTATCATACAAAATACTACCATAATAATTTACTATACTACAGCGTGCCACTTCACTACACTTGCCCCCAGGTCCAGTGCCGACCATTTCACAGTCCATAGCTACAAGCTTAGAGTGGTCTATTCCCACACATGGCGAACTCCTGCCACTGGTGGGAGGACTGGATTCAGACGAAAAGCCACTGTCCACCTCCCAGCTATCACTGAGAGGTAATGCAGACTCAACTTCACCAGTCAGTGTATGAGGAGTTATTCTGGGCCTTTTGAATTGCACATGATTTGACTGTTCAGATACAGAATCCAAAATATCTCTATGTTTAACACACTCTGACTTGTTTTCCAAAAGCTCATCTGATTTTCTTTTCTTTCCTCTTTTATGTTCAAATGACACTTCATGGAATTCAGTTGCGGATTTTTTCAGCGTATTCTTTTTCCTTTGTCTTTTAGCTTGATGAGAAATAGTGCTTGTTTCTTTGTTGGTGGCTGACAAGATATTTCGGCCCACACCATTACTGGTGGAGTATCTCCAAAGTGAATCAGACATTATGTCACCATGTAGTTTTACATCTGTCAAAAAAGAAGATACTGTTGTCAATCAAAGTAAAAGTATCTGTGTCCTTATAGAGATCAATGACAAATAATACCCAAGATTCAATATGAAAGAATTAGACAGCTTGCAAGTTACTAAGTTAAGACACACGAACAACATTAACTCTATATTTGACTACATGATCCATCTAAGGAAAGGAGATGGTCGGAAAGTGTCAATTATTTACCGCTCTATTATATTTAAGTTGTGATCGTGACCATTCAGTACAGTCACTTAGCACTGGCTAGCTAACCATTCAGCAAAGAAACAATAACGTAATCTGTCGCGTTTTACGTTTAATAACAACACAAACCCTAAATAATATTAGATTGTAAAACATTCCAGCAAAAACGCTTATCAGCGTTGTAATACTTAAATAATTGTACACGTTAGCACATACCTCTGCGTACACGTGGATCCGGTGAGAAGAAGCAGGGCTACGAGAACATGCCGAGACAGACCCAAATCCAGCTGTTTGATTGGGCGATCCGTTTCTACATATTGCACTCTGATTGGTCAAAACAAATGCCAGTGCAGAGCTCCTCCCCCAGGGGGATCCCTCGGTGAAAATATTGATGTACTGTTGTTTTGTTGCTGTGTAAATCATTGTGTGGACTGCGGAATTACGACAGAGGTCATTTTATGAATGGAAGTCAACTGAATTAGTACGCCGAATAAACTGCTAAGAGATAAATAGCAATACAATCTGAAGGAATTTGACAGCTAGCAAGATACTATGTTCAGGCACATAAGCAATATACTTACAGACTAGATACAAAATTCATCAAAAAGGTGATGATTTTTTTATTTCACTATATTAATGTGATATTGTAATGAAATTGAGCATATTCCTGGAGAGCCTTGGATACCATTGACTGAGAACTCTGTTTTAAGTGCATGTAAGTGTGTCTCTGGCATTTTATTTATTAATCAATTTATTTATTTATTTAAAGCAGTTTGATTATGATGATCTGTATGTTGTAATTTGTAAATTACAGAATCATCTGTAAATTGTGCTTGTTTATCTCTTATCAGGTCCCTGATGACAACAATAAAATGTTATTAAAGGGGTCATATGATGCGATTTCATTTTTTCCTTTCTCTTTGGAGTGTTACAAGCTCTTGGTGCATAAAGAAGATCTGTAAATTTGCAAAGACTAAAGTCTCAAATCCAATGAGATATTCTTTATAAAAGTTAAGAGCCAGCCACACCTACCTAAAACGGCTCGTTCTAACACGCCCCCACATATCTACATCACTATGTGGGAAGCTTTGCATAACACCGCTCATTTATCATTTGCCACTGATGATTCAAACGCAGTGTAGAATAGCACTTGTTGTTTGTCATTTCTCCGATCACAAATGCAGACAGGGTTTTATGTTTACGCGGCACGATGCAACGCAACGCGTAAAAAGACAGTATAAGTCATTATAATCAGTAATTATGTCCCCATTGGATGCAACAAATGCCTCGTTTGTAATGGGTTTTAATGTTTTTGTCTCGTCGCTCCTGCCAGGACAGGGCATCACAGTATGGTGAGGGGCGTAACATTTCCGTCTCACGCTTGAGGTATTCGGCCAATCACAACGCACTGGATAGCTGGCCAATCACAGCACACCTCGCTTTTTCAAAAAGGCGGGGCATAGAGGAGAAACAATAATGTACAGTATGTGTAAAATAATGTGTTTTTTTAACTTTAAACCGCATAAACACATTTCATTACACCAAATACACAAAATAATGTTCTTTTTAGCAGCATCATATGACCCCTTTAAAAGAAAAGATCATCCAAAAATGACAATTCTGTGATATATTCACTATAAACCCTGTATGACTTTCTTTCTACCATGGGATTCAAAACGAAAAATGATAAATAAATTATTGATTGATCTTCTTATGTTGCCATTTGGATATGTTGCCATTCCTGCTCGTGATCACGAGAAGAACTCCACATAGATGTTCTCAGAGTCTTCAAAGTTTATTGGAAGTAGACACATTTATATACTGTGGTTCTCACTAATGTTATACAATTCAAGGAAATATTACCTTCTGATTTATAGAGTAGTGTGCTGCTGAAAAGCTTCTTTTTTTTTTTTTTTAAAGAGAGAGCAAAAGGTCACAGCATGGACAACATTTAGTTTTAAGAAACATTAAATTATTATGAACTATTCTTCAAAAGCTGGAGCTGGAGGAAAATCATACAGGATGGATGGAGTGTCATGGGAGTGCCTGCATATCATCGTGCAAAAGTGGCTGTCATGTCCCCACTAGATGGCCTTGTCCTTCTACAAACCACAGCTGTTCACTGTTCACTCAGCTGTGGACATGGGCCAACCTCCTGAAATCACTACTAATCCTCTTAGTGACAACAAAACTCTTACTCGCCCAATCCGCTGCGTCTCTCCAGTGTGCCCACAGTTTTCTCCTCTCTCCATCTCCCCTCCCCACGCTGATGAACCCACTGTGTGGAGAGATTGTAATCCAAGTGGATTACACTGTAAATTGGGTGATGGAGGATTGGATGCTCTGGAAGTGAATCTCAGCTGCAGCAGTGTGCTTGCCATTTGCTTGATTTATATATTATAACTGGGATTATTTCATGCCAAGAACCATGGAACTTTGGAAAACACCTTTCAGTTGTGATGTTTTGTGAATTATGTGATGAGAGCATACATTATTTGATATCATGTTCACCTGAGTTTAACACGAAGAAAGAAGGACCTAATGATAACATTAAGTGGATTACTTGGATTATCGGTGTCATCCTGAATATTAGAAGCGTTGATTACTCCACGCAGCTCAATGAGAATTTGAGAAGTTTCTGGAAGATCTGAGCATGATTAGGAGTTCGCTAACTTGGATCATCAGGCCCTCCAAGAACTTTTGGATGTGCAAGTTCAGTTGATGAGTAGCTCGGAAGGGTTGTAAGAGACGTTTGAAACCATTTATGCCAGCATGAATGGAAGTGAGTGGAATGGACGTTGGATTTTAGTCGTCCTACTGGAGTAGTGGATTCTCAGGACCTTCTTCTCATGACAGATGTGGCTCTTAAGGATAGATGTCAGCATCATGTATAACATCAGAGGGTCTTCTTGGGTCACATTCTTCATGGTCTACACAGGCTGGCTGTGTATCTTTACACATGCTCAAATGAAGATTCCACCAGAAACGTAAGATTCACTTTCATTTCAGTTTTGGTAGATGCTTGTAAGACCAGACAGACTATTTCAGGGTCTAATTTGTACTGTTGCGACTTCAGTTCTGTGCACATTAGAAATTCAAATGAGACAGGAAGAGAAATTGCTCTGAGATTTGTGTGATCATTTTTAGTAATTCCCTGATTCCCTGAGTTTGTTGAGGTGTAAAATTCAGTTCTCACGAGGCTTGGAAGTCATTCAGTGCAATAGCAGATGGCAGACACTTCTCGACATACGTAAGCAGCAGTGAAAATATTTTAAGGTAGAAACGGAAAGATAATTTGGTGATATATCCATAATTCTCTTATAAATTACTAATACAGAAAAAATACAAATATTATTTATATAATTATTAAATAACTAACTATAAATATATACAAAAATAATAAAAAAAAATTGATAATAAAATATTTGAATATTTGAAAAAAAATCTAATGCATTTTTTAAAGGCATTCACCCAAAAATGAAAATTCTGTCATCATTAACTCACCTTAATGTTGTTTCAAACCTGGCTTTCCATCTTCTGTGGAACACAAAATAAGATATTTTAAAGCATGTTTGTAACCAAACCATTGTGGTGACCACTGACTTCCATTGAATGGACAAAAAACTAATTTTCCAAAATATCTTTTATGTTCCACAGAAGATGAAAGTCATGCATGTTTGGAACAACATGAATAAATGATAACAGAATTTAAACATTTTTGGGGTATTCCTTTAATGTTGTCACAATTCTGACTGGCCCTACAAAAACAAACCAACAGAAACCATGTCAGATTTGTTTCATGAACCTCTTTGGTTATTTTTTCCAGACATTGTGTAAAGATTTCTCTGGAGGCGAGCGTAGTGAGAAGCCAAGTGCAGCTTTATTTAATCCAAAAAGTGGCCAAACAATAAACAAAGACTTGACTTGACTTAACTTAGCTTGGCATGACAAGAATACAGACATGAAATAAACTCACCAACCAGTGGTTACAGAGGACAATACTCGACAAGAGACAATGGCAACACGAGGGCTATACATACCAAACAATAAGGGTCGCATGACAAACCAACCTATGACCAAACAAAACTGAGAACCACATGACAAGACAATAACCAGTCAGAACATGACACACAGACAAGAGTAGCACATGATATGATCACATGAGGGGCAAGGAGCACATGACAGAAACATGAAACAAGACAAAATATCAAAACTAAAAGACCCCTCTAAGGGGCGGCTCCAGAAGCCCTAATGTAACATCCAATCCAAACAAAACCCAAAAAGTCCAGGAGGGTGGTGGAGCGGAGGTGGAACTGGGAGAGGGACGGAGGGCCAGGCCCATGCAGTGGAACAGGACCTGGATCATGGCATGGCAGAGGACTAGGACTGTGGAGCAATGGTGGACCTGGACCATGGGGCAATGGCAGACCTGGGCAGTGGAGCCATGGTGGACCTGGGCCGTGAAGCAGAGGCAGGCCTAGACTGTGGAGCAGTGGTGGGCCTGAACCATGGAGCAATGGTGGATCTAGGCCGTGAAGCAGTGGCAGACTGTGGAACAGTAGAGGACCTGAGCCATGAAGCAGAAGGCAGGGAGCCAGGGTGGAGCAGGAAGAGCAGGAAGCCACCACAGCAGAGCAGACGGGACCGAAGATCTACACGGTGGAGTAGATGATGTGGCGAGTGGAGATGATGGTGCAGGGAACCACCATGGAGGATCAGGCAGGACTGGAGCAGAGAGCACAGAGAGGTTAACAACGGCCTCTGCAGCCGTAACATGACAGGCAGAAAGTTCATGGACGGTCTCCTTGGCCTTGACAAGGCAGACTATGAGTTCATAAACAGCCTCCATGACCATGACAGGACAAGCAGAGAATTCATGAACGGCCTCCTTTGCTGTGATATTGCAGACTATGAGTTCATAAACGACCTCCATGGCCATGGCAGGACAGGCAAAGAGTTCAGAAGTGGATGCTGCCGCCTCAGGAGTTTCTGCAGCACACGCCGCCACCTCTGAGGCAGACTCATGGACAGGAGAGGCCTCTGGGGTAGACTCGTGGACAGGAGAGGTCTCTGGGGCAGACTCGTGGACAGGAGAGGCCTCTGGGGTAGACTTGTGGACAGGAGAGGCCTCTGGGGAAGACTCGTGGACAGGAGAGGCCTCTCTCTCACACACTCAGGATGGTTAGTGCCATAACAGGAAGCACTGAGGATAGGGAAACTCTGTGATAGCCAGTGCCGAGGCCCTGGGGATGCCAGCTGCTCGCACCGACACCGGTGCAAAGTGACTTTGGTGTGACAAGGCTCAGGCGTGGCAGCCATCTTGGCCAGGGACTCAGGCATGGCGGCCATCTTGCAAAGAGGCTCTTGTGTGGCAGCCATGACGTGAAGAGGCTCAGGCTTGCCGGCCATCTTGTGAAGAGGCTCTGGCTTGGCAGCCATGACGTGAGTAGGCCCTGGTGTAGCAGACATGACGTGAGCAGGCTTTGGCTTGGCAGGCATGATGTGAGCAGGCCCTGGAGTAGCAGACATGACGTGAGCAGGCTTTGACTTGGCAGGCATGACGTGAGCAGGCCCTGGAGTAACAGACATGATGTGAGCAGGCTTTGGCTTGGCAGGCATGATGTGAGCAGGCCCTGGAGTAGCAGACATGACGTGAGCAGGCCCTGGAGTAGCAGACATGACGTGAGCAGGCCCTGGAGTAGCAGGCATGACGTGAGCATGCTTTTGAGTGGCAGACATGACTTTGGAGGCTTTGGAGTAGCAGACATGACGTGAGCAGGCTTTGGCAGACATCATGTGAGCAGGCCCTGGAGTAGCAGGCATGACGTGAGCAGGCCCTGGAGTAGCGGATATGCCGTTAGCAGGCCCTGGTGTAGCAGACTTGACGTGAGCAGGCCCTGGAGTAGCAGACATGATGTGAGCAGGCTTTGGAGTAGCAGACATGACGTGAGCAGGCCCTGGAGAAGCAGGCATGACGTGAGCAGGCTTTGGAGTAGCAGACATGACGTGAGCAGGCTTTGGCATGGCAGGCATGACGTGAGCAGGCCCTGGCGTAGCAGACATGACGTGACCAGGCCCTGGAGTAGCAGGTATGGCGTGAGCAGGCTTTGGAGTAGCAGACATGACGTGAGCAGGCCCTGGAGAAGCAGGCATGACGTGAGCAGGCTTTGGAGTAGCAGACATGACGTGAGCAGGCTTTGGCATGGCAGGCATGACGTGAGCAGGCCCTGGCGTAGCAGACATGACGTGACCAGGCCCTGGAGTAGCAGGTATGGCGTGAGCAGGCTTTGGAGTAGCAGACATGACGTGAGCAGGCCCTGGAGTAGCAGGTATGACGTGAGCAGGTTCTGGAGTAGCAGGCATGGCGTGAGCAGGCCCTGGAGTAGCAGGCATGACGTGAGCAGGCCCTGGAGTAGCAGGCATGACTTGAGCAGGTTCTGGAGTAGCAGACATGACATTAGCAACTCCAGACATGACAGCTGGGACATGGAAACACTCTTGTGTGGCGTGTACTGTAGGATTGCAGGGTTCCTCATCCACAATCCCCACAGTACTGTAAATAGTGAGAACCCAATAGCTTAGTTAATTTAATCCAAAAAGTGTCCAGAACATGACACACAGACAAGAGTAACACATGACATGATCACATGAGGGGCAAGGAACACATGACAGGAACATAAAACAAGGCAAAATCTAAAAATAAAAGACATAAAAACCTAAACCAGAAACAAAACCCAAACCCCACGTTAGACATTGTCAACTAGCAGGTTAATGTTCTGGCTTGAAGGGGTACTGTTTGAGCAGATACACTCATGGAATTAATAATGCCTTATGGATACCAGCCAGAGACACAAGCTAGTTCACAGATGGTCATACAGGCCAGGTTCTGTGGACACAGGAATATCACAGGCTTTGGGCCTTTCCAAGATTGCAACTAACATTATCCTCATGCATCGTAATTTGACTTTTATTATGCATACTAGACCCTGCTGAGCATGTAAGACCAAGCATATTTCATAGCTATGCGAGTACATCTGTGTTTTAGGGATTTATTGCCAAAGACAGTTTTATCTTGGCCTTAATCCCTATATTTATTTTTAGATTTTTAGATTTATATAACTACAACAATTCAAGGACAAATTGTTCTCTTGTAGCACCAGTCCATTTTAAAACTCACCAAGGCTGCATTTGATTAAAAATACACTATAAAATAGTAATATTGTGAAATATTATTACAATTGCAAATAACTTTTCTATTTCAATATATTTTCAAATGTAATTTATTCTTGTGATAGTAACGCAGAATTTGTAGTAGATACTTCAAAAATCATTCTAAAATGCTGATTTGCTGCTCAAGAAACATTTCTTATTAATAATTTTAAAAAATGTTTTTTAAGAAATCTTTTAAAACATAAATATTTTTACTGTTATTTTTGATCAATTTAATGTGTCCTTGCTGAATTAAACTATAATTTTATTGTTTTTAAATCTTACTGATCCCAAACCTTTAAACTTTAGTGTAAATGTAATATACAGCACTACATTACATTATATTTTTATTCCTAAATTTTGCTTATATGGGGAAAAACATTTCTCTGCTTCCTTTTCTGTTGATTTGTTTTTGACTTCCCAAGGATTTCCCTTGCTGTAATAGTATCAGAGTCCTCAACATTGCCAAACTATTAACATAATTCCTCAGCCTCCCTGATGATCCCAGACACCTTCAGGTCAACCGAGATGCTTCAACATAAGACTGATGACAGACTCAGTTCAACCTTAAGACAGACTGTCCGAGAGCTCACCTCTTATTATGACAAAGTGCTGACAGGGCTTTTTATATTTATTATTTTGTGCATTGTACATCAAGAATGACAGGGATGTTTCATTATACAGTATATTTGTGGTCTTTATATCATTTACAGTGACCTCATTTTATTTAAAGTAAATGTAAACATTTTAAAATAATTTATTGAGTTTATCAGGGTAATTTCAAACATTCAAATAAAATATTTGCTCACTAATTTGAATAACGCTTGATAAAAATCACACAGCTGGTGCTAATAGACTTTTTTTAATTTTTTAATTTTTTATTCTAGGGTTCAAAAATGGGCCATCACCATTTCAGAGCAAATCAATGCAATTGCATCAAAATACTCAGGCGCTGTGCTATTACAAAAGGTAAATATCAATGAAAATGTAAAGTTTCCTGGTCGTTTTTAGTTATGATGATTGTTTCTGGATGCTTTAATTTTTGGATATTCATTTAGGAAAACTTTTTGCACATATTACTAATAAAATGATTCCAGAAAAGCAAAATGCTGAAACTGTTCTCTCTGTATGTCTAGAAACTCAAAGATGTTGAGCCCATCATCAGAATAGAGGATGTAGATGGAGCACGATTAGTGCTGGAATTTGCTGATGAAATTGAAAGAATGCTTGGCAGCAAGATGAAATCTATGAAGGTCAGTCTAAAGTGCTCATTTTTATATTGTCTAGATTAATTTAGACTGATGTTATTTTATGAGGAGCTTTGGTTTTAACTTATAAAATGAGTTCTCTTTGTCTATGTCCTCAGAGGCTCGCAGACACAGCTGAGGACGCTGACCTTTATCATGAGTATAATGCATCTTTACAGGTAACAAAATTGGGATTTGGTATTTAAACCTGTTTGTAAAAAAATCAGCAAAAAATGTAATGTATTAAATTCAAATAAATTAAGTCATTTAAACAAATAGTTCATAAAAATAATATTATATTTCAAATAATTATATAATATATATATTACATATTTAGATTGTTATTTTAAATGCAAATATTGTCTTTTTATGCTATATATTTTTTTATAGTTTGACTACTTTAATGCATTATTGGTGAATACTATGGATGAAGAGGGAAATTTCATTGAACTTGGAGGTGAATTTCCATTGGAAGAGAATGAACATTTCAACAAGCTTTCAGTCAACACTTTAATGAGCGACATCCAAGTTCCCACTAATGTCTACAACAAAGGTATGGTAGCAATAATGAGAATCACCATGGGCTTTGCATCTAATTTAAACACACTTTGTTATTTTGCTTCTTGATTAAATCAAATAAACTGTGGACTCAACAAATCCAAAGTTCTGTCATAAAACTCTAGATGGCACAGTCTGATAGGTTCTAACTCAGTCTGACATAATGACATCATTATTCACAAACCCTCCACCTTCCCCAGCTCCACCTGTATAGATCTGCTACGGTGTGATTTCATATATATATATATGGTTATTTGATATATGTTATATGTGCAGCAGCAATATTTCTTACATGCTTACAGCAGCATGTCTGGGGATGTATTAGCAGTAGAAAGTCTCGGTACTCATTCTGCCGCAGGAGCAGTAGCGTAGCAGATCTATTCCGCCAAGACCAAACACATTAACACTGTCATGTGCATTACCATGCTAAACTCTCCGAGAGTTGCCATGACAGAACTCAAATTACAGGGTGTTTATAAGTCAGTCTATATTATAAAACTTAAAACACTTGATGGCAATTATTTCTTATTTGAGTGCTTAATATATGAGGGTTGTATTTTCACAGTTTAAATTAAATTCGAATCTTAACAATTGTGTGCAAATACAACATTTAAACTTTAAAAAATAATATCAAACGTCTTTATTTGCAGATCCAGACATTCTTAATGGAGTGTACATGTCAGAAGCCTTGAATGATGTCTTCATCGGTAACTTCCAGAAGGATCCCACTCTCACTTGGCAATATTTTGGCAGCTCAACCGGATTCTTCAGACTCTATCCAGGTTTGATCAAATGTGTTTCGTGAACATTGTTTAGTATTGCTCAGTCCTACAACTTGAAAGAAAAAAACTGGACTGTACGTTCTTAAATCTCCATTCTCAATGTAAAAGATATTTAGTTTTGCTTATCTTTGTGCTTTTCAGGAATTAAATGGACACCTGATTCTAACGGAGTAGTTTCTTTCGACTGCAGAAACAGAAATTGGTGAGACAAAGTAAAGCATTTGACCTAAAACCCTAATAGCTTTTGTTATCCTGCTTGTCCTTGTGCTTGGCAATGTAGTGAAGTTGATTAATTCATATGAAATCAAATGTATACCAGTTGACTTGGATTCAGCAAGGTCTTTTCCTGACCCAGTGTGCAGTGCAGGATTATCTGTGTGGATGCCACCCAAATGTCTGCTTGTGGCTATGGTAGCACAGCCAGTTAGGCCCTGATCCCACCAAAAGACTTTAATCTCATTCTTAAGTGGTTAGCAGCTCAGCGGTCAGGTTAGTAGGACTGACACAGGCTCCATATGTGACTGTTTATACAGAAGCAAGTGAATGCAATGAATCTGAATAAACACACCTGTAAGAAACACGTTTGAAGTCAGTTTGAAACAGGAGGATTGGATTTACTTCTCTGGTGTTACGTTTTTTACTTTCTTGTTAGTATATTTAAAAATTTAAAATATACTGTTGTAGTTAAACAAAACATTTTTGATGTTAACTAAGATTATGATGTGTAATGTTAATTAAAACAGTAAAAATTTAGTTAAAACTAATAGAACTAATAAGAAATAGGCATATTATACAGTATATCCATGTTGTTTCACTACATGAACACAAGATTACATTTATATTTAATGTAGAATTCATTCAATTAATTAATTATTTTTAAATGATTTTGTCTTGAGAAATATTTTATTAATATTTTTTACCAAATTAATATTTTATACATAAGTATTATTATGCAGCAATATTTACTTACATATATTTTTAATTAAATATTTTAATATTTTAAAGACCTCTATTAAGCTTCTTAAGTGATTATTTAATTGTAGTCACAATAATAATAAATAGAAAAACACATTAAAATCATTGCAGATTCCACAGTGTTGCTTAATTTTATATGTATTGGCAGAAAGATCATCACAAATATATTGTGAATGTTTGACATAATGCCCAGTCCTAGACCCAAATTGGTAACTCCTATAATAACTTATCATTTAATATTATTATAAAGCCTTTAGCATAGCCCTCCAGAGGTGTCCTGAGTCATCTTCTAAGAAAATCCTCTCTCTCTGTCACAGGTATATCCAGGCTGCCACCTCTCCTAAGGACATCGTGATTGTAGTTGATGTCAGCGGCAGCATGAAGGGGCTAAAAATGACCATTGCCAAACATACCATCAACACTATCCTGGACACGCTCGGGGAAAATGACTTTGTCAATGTTATTGCAGTAAGGGCACACTTTGTTTTCCATTTAGCATCACTTTATGGCTTGATCAGCATTGTAAAATGTTTTTGCATGTCCTTTCCTTAGTACACTGATTATGTCCGCTACGTGGAGCCCTGTTTTAAGGGAACGTTGGTACAGGCAGACTTGGATAACCGCGAGGTAAGTCGATTATCCACTTCACTTGAGCCTGAGGAACTAAGCCAATGACTCCAATCGGCACTGCAGGATACCGGCTCTCTACCATTCTCTCATATGCACTCATGTACACGTTTTTACACATTGTTTTTCTTTTCGTGTTTTTTTCCCTCATTTTTTACATTTACATTTATTATTTATGTTAGTGTTTTTTTTCTACTGTTTTTATTCCATGTGACTTATTTAAATTACATTTAGTTATTTAATTTATTCAAATGTTAAGTGTGTATTTTTTCACCAAATATATATTTAAAATTATAACTGATTTCAAACTCATTTTCTGAAAATTCTTCCATCTGCCATTGGATGGAAAAACAGGTAGTCCAAAATTCACCCCATTAAAACAATAAAAAATGATCAAATAATAAATAAACATTTTAGAAAATATAAATAAAAATAAAATATTAAAATATTATAACAAATGTAAAAATATAATTCAAGATCAACATGTGAATCATTTACTTATAGTTGGTCATAGTCACTTAAAGAGAAAATATAGACAAAATAATAATAAATAATAAAAATATAAACCTAAAATTAAAAGATAACATTATAACAAAACATTACAATACATTTAGAAACATAAAACTTATTTATTTTAAATTGTCTTTGAAATTATACACTTCTTGAGACAATGTTGCAATGCTGGGCTGGTTTTGATGGAAACACAGAGTTACAATTTTTAGACTTTTTTCGAAAATCAATATTTGAAAGATTTACTTATAGTTGGTTGAGAAAATATAAATAAATAATAACATAAATGAACAAAATATAATTTAAAAAATAAATAACATATATCAAAATAAAAAATAGAATAAATAAAATGAAAAAATTATATAGCAAATGTAAAATATAATTTAAAAAAATTAAAAAAAAACATATATCACACGCTTCCCCTAAGTAAATGTCACGCTTTTTAGGAATTACTGAGACAAACTTTGCTGTTTTCAGGAATGCTAGGCTGTAGCTCTGACACTAGGCAGGCTCATCCACATTCTGCTTTAGCTTTTAGTCATGTGATAGACTAGCGGCTGGGTGATTTGATCTAATGTGCAGCTCTTTTGCTTGTTATATACACTCTTAAAAATAAAGGTACTTCACGATGCCATAGAAGAATCTTTTTGTCTAAACAGTTCCATGAAGAACCTTTAACATCTGAAGAACCTTTCTGTTTCACAAAAGGTTCTTTGGGGCGAAAGAAGGTTCTTCAGATTATAAAAAGGTAAGAAAGAGATGGTTCTTTAAAGAACCTTTGACTGAATGGTTCTTTGTGGAACCAAAAATGGTTCTTCTATGGCATCGCTTGAAGAACCTTTTGAAGCACCTTTATTTTTAAGAGTGTATCAGAGAGCAAGTAGGGACGTACTCTAATCTCTGGAATTACAGTCGCTTATAGAATTATAGAGCGATTGGATCGTGAAATGACTGAAGGCAGCACGTTTCATCTTTCAGATCACTCTCATAATACTGTTTTGTCCGTAATGACGTGAATTAATTCAAACTGTAATTTTAATTGAATAATTACGTGATAAGATGATTAATTCCCCAAATCAATCACAGTTACTCACACATATCAATGTTTGCTAAGAAAAGACTCCAAATGAAGATCATTCGAAGACTTTACATTTCTGAATAATCATTCAATGCACCCTTGGGTTTTATTATACAGCTTATTCTACTATTGTACATCTCTAAATATCTTCAAAGTAAGGATGATGTAAAACATATAGGACACTTGGACAGGCCTGCGCAGCCACAGACTGGTACTTATAGTACAGGGTGATGGGTCAGCAGAGCTTGTAATGATATTTCAGGTCTAAGTCACTCAGCATCTGCTCAATGTGCTGACACAGATCCTCTAAGAAATACTCTGAAAGACAGCAGCACCATGACATCTCTGTCCCACCTGCTCAGATGGTCAACTTGATCCTGAATTTTGTCCCACTTTTGTTCATTGTGTAATTGTACTTAAAAAAAGACACAAAATGATTTTTTTAATGAGGTATTTCAAGCAATAAAATTTGCTAAATAATTATATTAAGAAATACAATATAATAAATATTAATATTTTTATCTTTTACATTTTTGCTTTTCGTACGATTTTATTTTTTGTAATTTTCTAGTCTTCTCCTGTTTTATGCCATTCATGTCAGTGTTATTTTAGTATTATTTATATACTATTATAGTATTTATTCATATTTTAAAGTAGCTTTTATTTATTTTATTAATTTTGTTTTTAATTTTAAAATGATCTATTATTTATTTTTCAGCTTCATATCAAGTAAAGAACAACACTGGACTAGTAAAGATATTGTTTGTGTGGATTTTCCTTTGCTACATGAAGTCTGAAAAAGTACAATCTTCATCTTTTTTGGTTTTTACTGCTATAATTTCATTTTCATTTGCATTTCCCTGTCCCATCTCTCTTTTCAGCATTTCAAGCTGCTTGTTGAAGAACTCCATGTGAAGGGAGAGGCTAAAGTAAAAAAAGCCATGAAGGAGTCGTTCCGCATCCTCGCTGACGTCAGTATCATTCACACAAATATACAAAACTCTGCATACGGTGCCAACCCTCTACACATCCTCCATGTTTCTCTTCCTGTCTCCTAGGCTAGAGCAAATGGTCAGGGCAGCCTATGTAACCAAGCAATTATGCTGATCACAGACGGAGCCATGGAAGATTTCCAATCAGTGTTCGAAGAGTTCAACTGGCCTGACAAGAAGGTAACACACAATCTGCTCGCTCTACAGGGAATGGAGGACATAGCATATGACGTACTATAAAATCTGCATACCGCTCTGTTAAATTGTTGGAGAACCTTCTGGAAAAATGTCTTGTTCATTGCACATTTTTCCTTCATGAACAGATTTTAAGACAATGTGACTTTATTGAACATGAATGTATGGATATATTTCCTCAGGAGCGATAATTCAAGTTAAGTAACAAAATGTAATGGTTTCAGGTACGAGTTTTCACTTACCTTATTGGCAGAGATATGACCTTCTCAGAAAACGTCAAATGGATTGCCTGCAACAATAAGGGTATGTAGTCAGCCAGTATTAAAAATGCAATAATTTACTCTCCCTCATGTGCTACCAAACCCGTATTTCTTTCTTGCTTCTGTAGAACAAATTATTGAACCATTCAAGCCCCAGAAAAGGACACAAAGGCATCTTAAAAGTATAATTTTCCATATGACTCATGCTGTATTTCATATCTTCTGAAAACATATAATAGTTTTTGTGAGGAACGGAAATTTGAATTGTCAATATTCCCCTCCAGTGAGCTTTTAACTGCTACAGCTGGATCACCGAAACAGTGAGCTGAACTCGAGAAATAGATCAATTTGATTCAGTAGGTTGGCTCGTTAATGAATCATCCAGTTAATGAATGATTCATTAATTGAATCTTTAATGCACCATTCAGATCAGATTATTCTGGTGTTGTGAACCAGATCAATTTGTTCATTGAAAAACATGATTCGTTCAGATTAATTCCTGATTCGTTCTCAAAGGTGCAGATTTTCAGTGAGTAATGACTTAAATTGTGGTTTGTTGTCTCAATCAAAGGCAAAGCTTTCTTACGACTTTAGAAGACTTGGAAAATAGTAAATAAAGTCATATGGACCACTTTTATGTGGTTTTTGGCCGCTTGAATGCTTCAGTTCATTGAGCTCTTCAGTTTGCTAATGGCATCTTTTCACAACAGGAAAATATGCAGAAATCTTATACTCCTATTTGATATTTACAGGTTATTATACTCACATCTCTACACTGGCTGATGTACAGGAGAACGTCATGGAGTATCTTCATGTTCTGAGTCGACCGATGGTCATCAACCATGACCATGACATAATCTGGACCGAGGCGTATATGGACAGTGTGGTGAGTGTATGATTCTGACTTCTCAGAAGAACTGAAATACAGAATTCACATTTCATCAATTCCCACTACTCATTTCAAGGCATTTTAATGTGATTTGTTGTGCTGTTTACTCATATATTACTGTTTCTGTACCAATGTGATTCTTTTCCATTCATCGCCATAATCATTTCTATCATACAGCTTCCTAACACTAAGGAGGTAACTCTTAGAAACAGTAAAACACACACCACTGTACTTTAGCATGTATAAATAGACTTTAGATTTTTAGCCTGTGCTCAGAGTGTAATGTAGTTGTTATCCTGATCAGCATACCATGACTTCTTGGTTTAGTACTCCCCCTGCTGCTTCTCATCATTTATCACATTTGTGCTGGACATGATGGAGCTTTCACTAATAGAATCAACATGAAATGTTGTTTTCAACCCATTTTACTGCCATAATTTGATGTATTTCTACGTGAAACATGAAAAAATGTTGAGTACAAATTTATTTTATTCATCTGAAATTTTGATCATGAAAAGTGGGCATGATGAGACTAGTAATGTGCATTTGGAAAGTAAATAGGGTTCATTTCGATTTCATGTTGATTTTAACTCTGTGCTTCTGCAGTTAAAGTGTAAGATACTAAATTCCTCATGTCTCTCCCATAGCTGTTCAAAAGCAAAGCTCACAGTCTTCTGCTCATGACGTCAGTGGCCATGCCAGTGTTCAGTAAGAAGAAAGAAACACTTTCTCATGGCATTCTGCTGGGAGTGGTGGGAACTGACATTCCTCTGCTGGAGGTCATGAAACTTGCCCCGCGATATAAGGTAAAAAAAAAAAACATCACTAAGGTTGCCAACTTCAGCTTGAAGCAGTCATATTTTTTCATAATTTCTTTATACCACAAATTACATTTGTAATGTAGGATAAATGGTAGCAGGGACAAACTATGTATTTATATAAATATGGAATATATCCATGCTACATTTTGGGTTAATATAGTATATTTTTGGACCATAAAATATTTGTGAATTTTATATTAAATATATATTTTATAAGTTTACATTATTTTCATGACAATTAAACACATTTACATTCCGAATTCTCAATACCATTTCCCTGCTACCATTTTTTTTGTAACTTATTTCAAAAAGTGAAACTTTCATATATTCTAGATTCATTACATGTAAAGTAAAACATTTCAAAAGTTTTTTGTTTTAATTTTGATGATTAGAGCTTACAGCTCATGAATGTCAAAAATCCAGTATCTCAAAATATTAGAACATTTACATTTGAGTTTCATTAAATGACCATCCCTACAGAATTCCGGGTATCTCTTGTTCTTTGAAACCACAATAATGAGAAAGACTGCTGACTTATGAATGATCCAGAAGACAATAATTGACACTCCACAAAGAGGGTAAGTCACAGAAGGTCATTACTGAAAGGGGTGGCTGTTCACAGAGTGCTGTATCAAAGCATATTAAATGCAAAGTTGACTGGAAGGAAGAAAATGGGTAGGAAAAGGTGCACAAGCAACAGGGAGAATACGGGCAAACAAAGCTGATTCAAACATTTGGGAGAGCTTCACAAGGAGCGGACTGAAGCTGGAGACCAAACCACTTCTGAAACAGAAACAACGTCAGAAGCATCTTAACTGGGCTAAGGAGAAAAAGACCTGGACTGTTGCTTAGTGGTCCAAAGTCCTCTTTTCAGACAAAAGTAAATTTTGCATTTAATTTGGAAATCAAGGTCTGGAGTCTGGAGGAAGACTGGAGTGGAGAGGCACAGAATCCAAGCTGCTTGAAGTCCAGTGTGAAGTTTCTGAAGTCAGTGATGATTTGGGGTGCTGTGACGGGCAAACAAAGCTGATTCAAACATTTGGGAGAGCTTCACAAGGAGCGGACTGAAGCTGGAGACCAAACCACTTCTGAAACAGAAACAACGTCAGAAGCATCTTAACTGGGCTAAGGAGAAAAAGAACTGGACTGTTGCTTAGTGGTCCAAAGTCCTCTTTTCAGACAAAAGTAAATTTTGCATTTCATTTGGAAATCAAGGTCTGGAGTCTGGAGGAAGACTGGAGTGGAGAGGCACAGAATCCAAGCTGCTTGAAGTCCAGTGTGAAGTTTCCGAAGTCAGTGATGATTTGGGGTGCCGTGACGTCTGCTGGTGTTGGTCCATTGTGTTTTATCAAGTCCAAAGTCAAGCTTTATGGATATGCTGATTTCCTTTTCCAGCAGTACTTTAGCACCTGCCCACAGTGCCAAAAGCACTTCCAAGTGGTTTGCTGACCATGATATTCCTGTGCTTGATTGGCCAGCCAACATGCCTGACGTGAACCCCAAATGGAATCTATGGGATATTTTCAAGAGAAAGATGAGAAACAGTCGATCCAACAATACAGACGAGCTGAAGGCTCAATAGTGCCTCAGCAGTGCCACAGGCTGATCGCTTCCATGCCACACCTCACTGATGCTGGAGTTTGTGCTAAAGGAGCCCCGACCAAGTATTGAGTGCATAAATGAACATACTTTAAAGAACTTGAACTTTTCTGTTTTGCAAATCATTTTTTTTGATTGATATTAGGAAATGTTCTAATATTTTGAGATACTGGATTTTTGACTTTCATGAGCTGTAAGCTGTAATCATCAACATTAAAAAAAAACTTTTGAAATGTTTTACTTTACATGTAATGAATCTAGAATATATAAAAGTTTCACTTTTTGAAATGTTACAAAAAAAAATATTTTTTTTACAATATTCAAATTTTTTGAGATGCACCTGTATATATGTATATATATATATATATATATATACAGTGGGTACGGAAAGTATTCAGACCCCCTTAAATTTTTCACTCTTTGTTATATTGCAGCCATTTGCTAAAACTAGAATATATAAAAGTTTCACTTTTTGAAATGTTACAAAAAAAATTATTTTTTTTACAATATTCAAATTTTTTGAGATGCACCTGTATATATATATGTATATATATATATATATATACAGTGGGTACGGAAAGTATTCAGACCCCCTTAAATTTTTCACTCTTTGTTATATTGCAGCCAT